ATAACCCCCCCATTCCCAAAAGTTTCTCGGCGGATTTGGGTTGTACTCAGCAAGCGCAGTGCAGCCTCATAGTCAGATTTTCAAAAAAATTAGTGGATGGCTTTTTACTGACTGGTCGGCCCGACCAGTAGGCTGCAAAACGGTCGGCGGTCTGGATAGGCGGTCGGTAGGTATGCAACCCTGTTGCCAATTGAATACCTGAAACACTTCCGCCTAGTGGCATCTTGCTTCTTCCCTCGACCTCCTCGAGGGCCAGCCAAGTGTGTGTCCTGGCCCACCTGTTCCAACTTTTGGCAGGAACGTCATTGCAGACTGTCATCCTAGCGGCAAGACCGTATCTGAGACTAAAAGTTGTCTAGATACAATCCAGTAACAGCATGAGCCTACCCACTATCCTGCCAAACGCCAGGGCCTATCTGAGTTATCCTTATCGGGTCCCTAACAGGTTCTACGTTTGTCCCTCGCAGCATGGGAATTGCCCCTAAGCCCATCGGCCATCCAAGTTTAAGCCCATCGGCCATCCAAGTTTCGGTCCTATCCCTCGCAGCACGGGAATTGCCCCTAAGCCCATCGGCCTCAAAATCATGTTGTTTTGGCTATACCTATGCAATCTGGTATGCTTGCACCAGATTCTGGTGATCCACCGTCGGAGATCCCATCAGAGATCCGCAGCCTTCTCAACTGATTCCCTGAAGTTTTGGTCGAACCACGTGGAGTTCCCTTGTGTCCGGTCCGACACAAGATCGAGTTGATAGAAGGCAGCACTCCTTCAAAGGGCTTTGTCTATCGAATGGGCTCAGGCGAATTGGAGGAGTTGCGAAGGCAAATCGATGATATGCTTGAAAAAGGTTGGGTCAAGCCAAGGGAATCCGAATTCCGTGCGCCAATTTTGTTTGTCCCTAGGAAAGGAGGCAAGCTACGGATGTGTATCGATTACCGCGGGCTAAATAGAATAACAAGAAAGAATGCATACCCTTTCCCACGCATTGATGATCTGCTTGATGCTGCAGGTGGATGCAAGGTCTTCAGCAAGATCGATCTCAAGTGTAGTTACCACTAGATTGAAGTCGACCCCACAAACCAGCATAAAACTGCATTCAAAACTCGCGATGGGCTGTACGGATTTATCGTCATGGCCTTCGGCCTCACGAATGCACCGGCCACCTTCCAAAGTCTCATGGACAAGGTGCTCCACAGTCAGATCAATCGATTTGTTGTTGTTTATTTGGATGACATACTAATCTTCAACAAATCGATGGAGGAACACATGAGACACCTTGAGGAAGTGTTGCAGACCCTCAAGGATGCGTAGCTCCATCTCAACCTAGAGAAATCTGAGTTTGGGAGGGACAGCGTCATCTACCTTGGACATCAGTTGTTCACTGCGGGCCTAGAGCCCGAGGCAAACAAAGTTGAGGTCATCCGCAAATGGCCTCAACCGACAAATGTATGAGAATTGCGTTCTTTTTTGGTCTCGCATCATCCTACTGTAAGTTTGTGCCCAAATTCTTTATCATCGTCCATCTGCTGTCCAAAACGAGCAAGAACGTGTCTTACACGTGGGATGGGGAATGGACAACCGCCTTCCAAGCATTGAGGGAAGCCTTGGTGAGTCATCCGGTGCTCCGCATTGCAGATCTCAAACTTACATTTGTAGTAACTACAGATGCAAGCTTCTACGGGATCGGTGCAGTGTTGCAGCAAGATGATGGTGACGGCTTACGTCCGCTTGAGTAGTTGCCTCCACCTACATGCGAGAACTCTATGCCTTGAGAGAGGCACTAAATCATTAGAAACATTACCTCTTGGGTTGCCATTTCAAAGTGTTCTCAGACCACGAGACTTTGAAATGGATCCAGACACAGATTAAGCCATCAACTACATTAACCCGTTGGCTGCATGAGATTGATGTGTATGATTTTGAACTTAAACACAAGAAAGGCTATTACAATCGCATTGCGGATGCTTTGTCTCGCCACCCTGAGTACATGACTTGCCTTGTGGGTTCCTACGATCTCTGTAAGAATTTGAAGGAGGAGCTAGTTGAGCACACTACCAAGGACCCGGAACTCAGTCCCATCCTTGAGCAGATCCAAGCTGAGTCATCCTGATTTCCACGAGTGTGAAGGTTTGCTTTTCCGGCGTTACGGGGAGTACGACCGACTGTGTGTACCCAACCATAAGCCTATCCGTACTCACTTCTTGGACTTGGCTCACGGCCAGAGTGGACACTTCGGTTTTGAGAAGACATACGAAAGCCTACTGCAAAAATTTGTATGGCCTGGAATGAAAGGAATGGCATAAAAGTTTGTGGCTGAGTGTCAAGTTTGTCAATGCATCAAACCGTCTCGGCAAAAGCCCTATGGGCTGCTGCATCCTCTTCCTATCCCTGATGGTCCGGATGAGTCTCATTCCATTAACTTCACGGACATGGGAAAGAAGAGCAGGAACGGATATTCCCAAGTAATGGTGATCGTTGACCGCTTTTCAAAATTTCTGAATTTGATTCCATTGCCACCTCACGCCCCAACTAACCTTGTGATCGAGGAGTTTCACAATAAGTACATTCTACAGTGTGGGCCCCCGAAGACTCTTGTGAGTGACCGGGACACTAGGTTCATAAGTGCAGATTGGAAGGACTTCACCTCTAGATATGTGACATCAAACTCAAGATGACATTTGGTCGACATCCCGAAGCCGATGGACTGGCCGAAGTGATCAACGAGACTGTGATCCAACTTCTCCGAGCTCTAATTGTGCCTGATCAGAACTCTTGGGATGAGGAATTGTCGATTGTGTAGGGATTGTACAACAACTCCATACGCTCCTCCACCGGGATGACACCTAATCAGCTGCACCTCGGGTGGCAAATTCGCAATCCCCTATCCTATTTGTTTCCTGACCCGCCACCTGGCCTAACACCTGGCCACCCTGGCTACAACGCTAAGTTTGAGCGCTTGCTCAAAGTTGCTGTTGCACCTATGGAAAGGCGACGCAGTGCCATGATTAAGCATGCCAACGAGAAGCGCCAGCCTGCACCTTTCACTGTGGGAAGTTACGTTTGGGTCAAGATGTCTGAGTTTTCTGAAGAAGAGGGTGTATCACGAAAGCTTCTTCCTCGATATTACGGTCTGTGAAAGGTGCTGAACCAGGTAGGGGAGGATTCATTGGGTCCTTCTTGCACGATCGACGTGCCTACTCATATGGGCACGTACCCAGCCTTTCACGCGCCGAAGTTGTTTCCGTATGTACGACCCGAAACTTTTCTGTATCGAGAATCGGTGATTCCTCGCGCAATCAATGGCGGTCACGAGATTGATAGAATTGTCGAGCACAGTGGAAAAGGGAAAAACAGACAATACAAAGTCCATTTTCTTTCTTTCTTTCTTTCTTTTTTTTTTTTTTTTTTTTTTTTTTTTTTTTTGAAATAACAGAACTACCTGGTTCTGGCTCCTACCATTCTAGGGAGCGACAGTCCAGTTCCTATTCCCCCGGCAAGTCAATATGTAATACATTGGAAACTTACGCACGCTCCTCCCCATTATGGCTGGGAGGCCCGAGTGGACGACATTGATTACTTCCCTGCGGAATGATATACCCCCCTTCACTTCTGCATAATTTAGCCTGCTCTTCTTATTTTTAGTTGGCTCTTGCTAGTCTAGTTGGCCTCAGTCCTGCTCCTCTCAGCTATACTGCTGTCGGTTCGGAGTGCTGTGCTAGAGAGGATTGAGAAATTTGCAGACTTCTTAAAAAAAAACGGGGCGTTTGTTGTCCCTCGTCCCCTGTTCAGGCTTGGTTGGTCTTTAGGCACCTCTTTACAGTTTGCTGGCATCCTTCCTCATTCCATCTTGGGTAATGTGGCGTTTTCTCTTTCAGTAATTTATGAACCACTTGCATTCCTCTCTGAACCGTCTCTCCGATACTGCAGCCATCGATCTCTCTTGTGGCAGTTCTGGTCAGAGTATGTTTTGCCCGTCCACCGCTGTTTGCTGCTGGTAACCCCTCCCTGAACTTGAGTTGTGCCAATCTTTCCAACAGATGCGATCTTCTCTTAGGTCCGCCACTTTGCCATTTACCAGCCAGGTTCTACTGAAGCTTAGTCTCGCCTTCCTTTGTTGGTCGACATCCTCTGTCCATGATTGTTTGGTCCTCCGCCACCTGCAGAGGATTTCAGCTTGCATCATCGTTTTGGTCTCAGTCCAAACTTTTTCGCGTGAGTTGGCCACTCCTTCAGTCGTCCTGCCGCATCTTTCCTTTCATATGAGCCACAACGTTACCTTCCTTACGATTTCAAACCAAATCCTTTCTGCCTTCTTGAATTGCTCGGGAATGTTAGTCAAGAGGAGGAGTTGGATGGGTTGTTCAAAGTCCATTTTCTATATCACCCATTAAATGATTTTTATTGGATTGCTAAGAAAGACTTGCTGCAGAGTGCCCCGTGAGTCGTCAACACATACAAACAACTGATTGTCTCCGAACAGCAACCTAAACTCACCACTATGCTCAGTCCTACGGAACATACCCGATCTCTGTTTGTCATTTACGCTTATGATGCGTTATGCAGGGAATCTGAGTGAGTTACTCGCTCGAAGGGACCTCGCTCTTGAAGGGGGGGTAGTGTAATGACCCGCCATAACACGGGCTGAGAACACTGTTGATTTCTGATTTTTGCCGATGGAATGGATGTGCAAGGAAGATGAGCAATAGCGAACTTCAACAATCAAACAACATCATACATATGAGTCCAGATAGTCTTGACCGCGAACCAACAGCAGAATTGCACCACGAGATTCACCAAATAAGAACACACAGAGTTCATAATTGACAATGCTGAAATAGTCCCATCATCATCAACGAAGAACCAGAGTTGATATCCTATCTGGCGCTCGGCACCCAGACTACATGTGGCAGATCCTATCTAGCCTATACTACGAAGCCGAAAGATGACGTCAACAGCATTCCCGAAGTATGAGCATATGGCGACCAATGTCGCACGCTTCCAGCACCAGGTATGTCTCGGGCTACACTCACAACCTCGTTCCCCAACTCACAGATGCCACTAGCACCCAAGGACCACCCTGCGCTTCACCCAGCTTACAGCAGCGCAACTCGGCTATGGCTGCGTGCTCCTTCCCTGCTCGCCAGTGAGAGCGTAGGCGCCAGTCAGCAAATAGCGCAGCAGCAGCGCTTGCGCAGCATGCAGCCAGCACCCGAATGCCGAATGAGGAGGCAGGCCCTTTCCTATATCGAAGTGGCCTGCCTGCGTCCAGTCCCAGGAAGCTTCCAGTAGGCGTCGGTAGCCTGAGGCCCAACACGACGAGAGCAGGCCTTGGGCCTGAAGTGGTTGCATGCGCCCAACTGCCTTCGGCCTGTGTTTAGCCCGGTACCCGTATCCAGCCCAGGGCCTGCTTCACATACATTCACACAGGCGGCCCAGGGCCTGGGTTCACTCAACCAACTGGCGCTGCGCAACTGCCTGAATTTTCCCTGAGTTGCATGGTGGCCAGAAAAGGGCCCTGAGGGCCTCGTCGAGCTTGAGTTCACTTAGGGCGGCCGACGAGCTGCAAAAAGGGGGCCTTATGGGGCTCATAGAGGCAATGGCCTCACATTCCCTCCTCCTTAGCTTCAACAGTCCTCTGAGAAGCTCAATCTTCGATCATAGGGCGTTTTCCCTTCTGCAGAGATCTCTCATATTGGGTTACAACTTGAGGAGTGGTCTGCATGAGCTCTTCCCTGGTGAACCAGCGGTCCTCCTTCGGATCAGTGTGATGCCGGAACCGAACGCGGTACTGCAGCTTCGGTTTCGGAGGACGTCCCCTGCCTGCTGGTCTTGATACCGACAGCTCTCTGTGATCCACAATATCATCGATGTCCACCTCTCCGTCCATGGTTGGGGGCAGCGTTGAGCGACGAGATGGAAACTGATCAGTCTCTTTGAAAGGGGCCAGCTTGGATGCGTGAAAAACAGGGTAAGTACGGAGATGCCCAGGAATCTGGATAACATAAGATGGCCCATCCGGATCTGTCCCAACGATGTCCAAGACCTCCCAAGGTCCAAAGTACTGGGGCATGAGTTTGCGGGAGATCCCGTGCTACTGTCCTAGTTTTGAAGACTTAACCTTGACCCTATCCCCAACCTGGAATGAGGAAGGTCGGCGGTGTCTATTCTCAGACTCTATCATTGCAGCCTGAGCCTTCTGCATCTGTTCTACAGACTGCTGCATCTTTTGTTCATAGCGGTAAGCAAATTCTAACGTACCTGGTGCAGCAGTCGACTGATTCTCAGGAAGGAGAAAATCCAGAGGCAGTCTAGGCTTGAATGTTAGCAGTAAGCTGTTTGGGCTCACCCCGGTGGCGCTGTGAACAGGGTTGTTGTACAAGCTGGCGATGAGAGCAAGCTTCTCATCTAGCAGTAAGCTGTTTGGGCTCACCCCGGTGGCGCTGTGAACAGCGTTGTTGTACAAGCTGGCGATGAGAGCAAGCTTCTCATCCTAGTCCACCTGGTTGGGCTTGATGTAGTGCCTCAACAGGTGTTGTACAACGCGGTTCAGTTGCTCGGCCTGAGCGTTGGCCTCTGGGTGATCCCCAGAAGTCATCTGCAACTGAGTTCCCTGCTTTGCAGCAACGGCCTTCCACAACTCACTGGTGAACCGAACATCCCTGTCACTAATAAAAGACTTCGGTAAACCAAAGTCTCTGACCCAGTTCTCTTTAAACATTCTGATCACATACTCCGTTCTAGTTGTTTCCGGCATTGCCACTAACCTAGCATACTTGCTAAATCTGTCCACGATGACGAAGATGTGTCGCATCCCACTCTCGCTGGTGACCAGAGTATCCATGAAGTCCATGGACAAACTCTCACCAGGCCGTTTCGGAATCGGAAGGGGCTTCAGGAGCCCAAGAGGAGCCTGAGTACGGGGCTTGTCTCTTTGACATACCTGACAAGTCTCCACGTACAGCTAGGCGTCTCGCATCATCGTGGGCCACCAGAACCGCTGCAGCAGTTTGGCTGCGGTCTTCTTGTACCCAAAATGGTCGGTGGCATCATGACACTCTCCTAAAAACAAACTACGCAAAGACTCTCTACTTGGGACGCACAAGCGTTTATTACCGGCCTTCTCAAGAAACAGCAAGTCGTTGACCAACTCAAACTCGGCTGAAGTCTTGTTGTCCTTCGCCTCGAGTCTGCGTATGATCTCAAACATGAACTGATCCTCGCGATAGGCATCCACCAAAGAGCGAGTAACATCGTTCGTGAGATCAAACTCAATAATCAGCGTACCTGAAAAGTCAGGTCTACGCGACAAGGCATCAGCCACCTTGTTGTACTCCCCTTTAAGATACTGGGGGTCGAAGTCATCCTGCTCAATGACTTCAATCCAACGCTTCAAAGCGTCAAAAAGTACGGGCTGAGTTCTCATCCATCTCAGGGTCTGATGACCAGTCCTGAGGATGAAAAATCTCCCAAGGAGATAATGTCTCCAATGGGTCAGAGCCTTGTACACGGCGTAGAGTTCCTTCTCATACGTGGATTTTGCTAACTTCTGAGACGGCATCTTTTTCGACATGTACTCGACTGGGCTCAACTTTGGCCCCTCCTGCTGTGCGAGCACGGCGCCAATGCCGTATTGGCTGGCGTCCGTGGTGACTATGAACGGTTTGTCAGGATCAGGAAGTTTCAAGACCTCGTAGTGCGTCAACACATGCTTCAGATGTCTGAAAGCAGCCTCGCACTCATCTGTCCACTCCCATGGGGTGTCAAGGCGGGTCAGATCAGTCAAAGGAGCAGCCACTATGCTATAGTTCTTAACGAAAGTCCTATAGTAGCATGTCATTCCCAAGAAAGATCTCATCTCAGTCACAGACTGAGGACGTGGCCAATCACGAATGCTGGCCACCTTCGCGTCATCGGGCTTCAACCCTTTTGCGAAAATCTCATGACCCAAGTACAAGACACGGGTGCGGCCAAACTCGCACTGAACTTGTGCTGTCATAGGAGGCTGTGAACTTGTGCTGTCACAGGAGGCTGAGGAGTTTGTCCAAATGTGCAACGTGCTCCTCAATAGTCTTACTAAAAATAAGTATGTCATCAAGGTACACGATGACAAACTTATCTAAGTAGTCATGAAATATCCGATTCATAACGTGTTGAAAGGTGCCAGGAGCATTGCAAAGGCCAAAAGGCATCACCACAAACTCGTACAGACCGTACTTGGTCTGGAAAGTGGTTTTGTGCTGATCCTCGGGCCGGATTGCAATCTGATGGTACCCAGACTTCAGATCTATCTTACTAAAGTACCAACACCCTTGCACTCTATCTAACAGTTCATCGATGCGCAGTAGGGGCTCTTTATTCTTTACAGTGATTGCATTGAGGCCCCTACAGTCAATGCACATGGTAAGAGTACCCTCCTTCTTCTTAGGTACGAATAGAACTGGAGACCCATAAGGAGAGACACTCGGYCGGATCCAACCCTTCTCTACGAGTTCCTTGAGTTGRCGGCGAAGCTCATCAAGCTCGCCTGGAGACATCYGATAGATCSTACCCTTCRGAATASTAGACCCTGGGATAATCTCTATCGCGTGGACGACCTCCCTCTCAACAACCCCTGTCGGCTCTTCAAATAGATCAGGGTACCTAGCAACTACTCCCTCTATCTCCGGCGACATTTTCACCGGCTCGCCTGCAGCAGAGACATAGACTAAATACATACCGTCCGCCTGATTTTGCTTATAATAATTGTAGAACGCGGCCGCACACATGCACCCATAGGACTCAATCAGACTACTAGCTTTGAACTTGTGTAATCTAGCGGTCCCTCGACCTGGCAAAGTGTGTTTGACCACTTTTCGGTCCCAGTCAAACTGGGGTTGTGCTATAGAGAGGTAGTACCTACCTAGTAACATGTCCATTGGGAGCTCGTCACTTATTAGGAACGAGACACGATGTCTCAAGTCCCCTCCCGCGTACGGGAAACAACACTCAACATTCTGAAGGTAGTCGTTGACTACCATGCGCTGTTTGTTGGCACAGGTCGACTCCACAGGTCGACTCAGGCGCTGCACTTGCCCCTGTAAGCGCAGTCTCTCAACGCACGCGCGACTAATAAAGTTCCGTGTCGAGCAAGTGTCATAATAGGGCCCGGCCTTGCGGCCGCCAATGACAACGTCGTTGACGAACATCTCACCCTTCGGGGCTTTGACTAGTGTCATCCAAGAAGCTAGCGGGTCTGATCTAGACCACTCCACCTCTAGCTCCTCTAAGGACTCAAACACATTCATCGAACAGAGGCTCGCTGGGTCTGAATGTGCTTGCGGGACGACGCTGGAGTGAGTAGCTTGGGCCATCTCTCGAGATGGTGAGGGTGTCTCCACCACCTCGACCCTAGCAGGAACAGCTACTATTCCTACTGGCCCGACGTGTTTCCCGGAGCACTGCCTGAAGTACTGGCAACGTTGCTACCAACGGGATGAGAGGATCCCAACACCTGCCCCATCGTAGGCGGGATCTTTTCTGTCACTTTCTTATTGCGGCACTTGAATTGATTGTGGCCATATTGACCACAACGAATACAGGCCTGCCGAGAGTAGCCATATTGACCACAACGAATACAGGCCTGCCGAGAGTAACGATCTCTCCACACGTCCTCTGTAAGACCCGCTTTCTCCCATGGAGGAGCGTTGGGGTCAACTTGACTCCTGGACCGGGAGCCTCCGCGACGTCTACCGTTCGCCTTACCTTTTTGGGATACGGCAGCGACCACACCCTCTAAAGCATCTATGCTGCCTGCCTCTGAACCTACTCCCTCCTGGAAGTTGCCATCCACCTCGATGGTTGAACCATTGTTGTCGACAAACATCAAGCGACCTTTCGCCTTCCAGTTAGGAGGCAGTGTCTTCTTCCTCCCATCCGTAGTGGGTGCATGTCCATGCCCTATCTTAGCTTCAAGGTCTAGGGCCACCTTGCTGAACGAAGGGAAGTTGTGCATATTGATATTGGCCTTTTTTGCCAACTGGTTCCTGAGAGGCTGAGAAAAACATCTCAAGTACGAAGTCAACAGGACCCGGGGGTCATAGCGCACCCCTGGGACACAGATCAGACGCTCAACAGCGTCGGTGGCTTCCCTTACTGACTTAAACTGCCTTGTGTGCAGTGTCAGGATCGCATCAGTGGCCCTTTGGGCCTCCTGAGTATCATGCCACCTTTCTTCCACCATCTTCAGGAAGTCCTCCAATTTCTGGGAGGCCGCCCAAGCGCGGAAGTCATGACCATATCCCTGGAGTTGTACTAAACCACTCAACCATCTTGCTGCACTACCCTCTAGATAGGAAGCAACCACAAGCACTTCTTCGTGCAGCAAGGTGAGTTTACACCTGACGTAGACCGGCACTGCCCTCAACCACGTGTCGAGGTCCTCGCCCCTCTTATCCCCTGTAAAAGGTTTGGGAGCGGTGATTGCCGTCTTTGGAACCCACTGAGTTTGTCCCGATTCCTGCACCACTCCGGGCTGTGGACCCGGTGACACAGGTTGTTGTGCTAGCTGCTGGGGCTGCGTGCCCTGAGGCTGCACAGGCTGCGAGACAGCAGGCTGCGTGGTGACTGCAACCTGCGACGGAGTTTGGGTGTACACTGTCTGTACAGGAATCTGCAAACTACTCCCTGTTGTTACCCCTCCTGACAACGGCATGCCCAGGGAAACGATAGCAACCGATGACGGGGTTACGTATGGGGATACCCCTGTCACCGGTAGGACAGAAAAAGGAGGATATGGCACGGGCCAGGCACCAGGCCCGACTGGTGATGGTGCTGCCTGAGCACAGCCTGCCAAAACGGCTAGGCTCTGTTGGATATCCTGAAGGATGGTAGTTTGATGCTCCTGCATCTCTATTACGCCTAGCAGGGCTCTCCTAACTACCCTCACATCATCATCCATGTTTGTCAGGTCCATCGTCTCTAACTCCTCTATGTCTGCCCCCCTCCGTTGCATCCTAGCTCTTCTTCTGATCATCTTCGCCTTCTCCGCTTTTATCTCTCCTAATGCCCGTTGTAGTTGTGCCTCCTGCAGGACTGCCTGCTGGATGGCGACATCCTCTGGAGTCAACACTGCTGCCTGGCTTGCCATAACGTCAGTGGACTGACTCACGGTCTGCGCGACGGTTGACCCGACGGCACCTGAACTGCTGGCTTGGGAAGTCTGCTGCGCAGAAGTGACCATGGCGGAAGTAGCCATGGCTGCTGTAGCACCGGCCTCGCTAACTAAAGCCCTGCTGGCCTCGGCTGCTCTATCTCTCCTCTGCTGCTGAGCTGGCGGAACAGAATCCTATCACCCTCCGGTCCTAGGGACACGTGGGCTATCGGGCGTCTAGCTGATTGCAAGATCCAGTCGTCCAAGTGTGTGTCCTCCTGGTTGCTCATAGGCTACAACGCTGTGCACCGTCTACACTAGGACACTCTAGGTGCCTACCGCAACATAATGCTCAGACCAACTAATTAGTTGGTGGCTATTTTGGAACAGATATCACTTGAGGTCAACAGGTAAGTCAGATTCCTACAAACGAAACTATTTTTAGTCTGACTAGTCCGCAAACAGAAGCACCAGGAACAATAAAACAATTCTAACTAATGTTGTTTGTCATATGTCAATGGCTGTACACCTAACTAATCAAAACATAAAAACAGAATCATTTGTGTGGATAGGACAGCATGGAATTTTCTCGAACTTATCAACTGGAATCAACCCCTCCCTTAGTTCCCCTGAGTATCACTTGACGTCAGCGTCCCTGAGCGATCTGGAGAGTGTCGCATGTCTAAAGGTGTGTGTCCGGCCCACCCCTGTGCCCCAAGTATCCACTGAGCTGGCCAACCTTGCACGTATATTTATCCTCGGCGTGCCGCGAGCCTTACATCACTGGCTGATCCAGAGGCATTTTAACGTCCGCCCCCAAGTGACATCAGGAATTATTTTACGTCCCAGCAGGACAACGATCACAGCCAGTGATATCCCCTTCCCGTGTTTATTTATAGACGCCGGGTGCTCGTCTTTCCTGTAGGGCTGGCCTGCCCAGTAGTACCCATCTAACAGCGCAGCAAGCAGAACAAAGGACAAGCAGCAAGGCATGCGTGCT